CCTAAACCCTGTATGGCTTAGGGTTTCAGGGTTTAGGGTTTCGGGTTTAGGCTTAGGGCGCAGGCCCTGAGAGGGTTTTAGGAAGGCAGAGGGCTTTGGGGATGCGTGTGGGTTTGGGTTTAGGGTTTAGGGTTTAGGGTTTAGGGTTTAGGGTTTAGGGTTTAGGGTTTAGGGTTTAGGGTTTAGGGTTTAGGGTTTAGGGTTTAGGGTTTAGGGTTTAGGGTTTAGGGGTTTAGGGTTTAGGGGTTTAGGGTTTAGGCTTTAGGGCTTAGGGCTTAGGGCTTAGGGTTTAGGGTTTCCGGTTTAGGTTTAGGGTTCAGGGTTCAGGGTTCAGGGTTCAGGGTTTAGGGTTTAGGGCCAGATACGAGGCCGTGGGTCTGTTTTTGGCCTCAAAACACGGTTGAATTCCGGAGCCGTCGGAGAACCAAGCGTTTCCAAAGAATCTGCGAATGGATCCGAGAAGAAGTCCTAATCCAAAAGGCTAACCCTGAACCCCAAATGCTAAACCCTACAATTTGCTTAAGCCCCCCTCAAAAAAACAAAAGAGATAACAATCCCCATATACTCCTCATGTTGAAGAATGATTTTTTTGGTGGGGCGGAGTGTTAGACAAGTAGTAGTAAGGTCCACCCTAGGGTTCTACAGACGGGCAGGGGGACCAAAGGCCTGAGGCTTAGGGCTTCTAGGGTTTATAGGGTTTATGCGGTTGAGAGCTGATGGGGTTTATATGGTTTATAGGGCTTGTAGGGTTTATATGGATTGTAGGAACCCTAAACCCTAAACCCTAAACCCTAAACCCTAAACCCTAAACCCTAAACCCTAAACCCTAAACCCTAAACCCTTGATAGGGTTTCTAGAGATTAGAGGATAAGACCAGTCCCGATAGTCGCCGCTGTTCTCGCGGTTGTTGGGCGTGGGCACCATGAGGGGTAGGTAGGCGCTCTGGACATCGCCTTGAAAAGGGGGGGGGCGGACGGGGGTTTCGGGTTTAGGGTTGAGGGTTTAGGGTTTAGGGTTTAGGGTTTAGGATTTAGGGTTTAGGGTTGAGGGTTTCGGGGTATAGGGTTTTGGGGGTTAGACCCGCGAAGAAATGTGCCGAACCGCAGAACGCAAAGATGGTCACTTCTCCATATTATGGTCCCCTTTTTTCGTACCCTAAATACGAGGGGCCACCTTATCATATTAGCTCCAAAAAATCCCAAACCCTAAACCCTAAACCCTAAACCCTAAACCCACGGGGTTCTGAGGCAACCTCCACAAACCAGGCTGCGGGCTCATAAGGCAAGCCTAGGCAATCAATAACCCGAAGCCCTGTACCCTCAAACAAGGGTTTAGGGTTTAGGGTTTTAGGGTTTAGGGTTTAGGGTTTAGGGTTCAGGGTTCAGGGTTCAGGGTTCAGGGTTCAGGGTTCAGGGTTCAGGGTTCAGGGTTTAGGGTTTAGGGTTTAGGGTTTAGGCCAAAGCGGAAGCAAGGAACGAATGGCCATGTCCAGCGCTGCGCGATAGAGTCCTCCAGCGTCCTGTCTCCGGTCGAAAGAGCCAAAGGCGGAAGACACATGGTACCCATTTAGGGTTTAGGGTTTAGGGTTTAGGGTTTAGGGTTTAGGGTTACAGGGCTCAGGATGGCTCAGGGTCAGTAGAACCTACCGACGACATCCGACAACACTTTTAGCTCGAGAGCCTTCGGGGGGCCTTCGTGCTTCAGGAGATGTAGCACTTGGGTTTAGGGTTTAGGGTTTAGGGTTTAGGGTTTAGGGTTTAGGGTTTAGGGTTTAGGGCACTACTATTTGCTTAAGAACCCCAAAAGAAAAAGAATAGTGATCTAGGGTGCAAGGTCTACCTCAAATGCCCCCCACACTAGCCTGAGTCTGAGACGTGATGCGATTGAGAGATGGAAGCACACACATAGGTGCCGAAAGCCATCTTATGGTCTAGTGCTATATTAGACAGCCTGGGCCTAGGCAGGCCTCCCTCCGGATCCTTCCCCAACCTAAAACCTTTTTACCTGGGAACTCGCCAGCCCTAAGCCCTGAACCCAAAACACAAGCCAAGTTCGCAGGCTTTCGGCGCAGTTCAAGACCCATTGTAAAGGCGCGGGGCTGTTTAGAGTTTAGGGTTTAGGGTTTAGGGTTTAGGGGCTTTAGAGTTCGGGATTTCAGAGCCGGCATCACGGAACAATTCGGGCCAACCCCGTCTGCCCTTGGACTTTCATCCTGAAACCCTAAACCTTCAATCCCTAAAGGTCATCAACCCTAAACCCTAAACCCCAAACCCTAAACCCTAAACTCCAAGCTATGCGCTCGAAACCGAAGGACTCCCACAACAAAGGGGCCTCACCACCCTCGCCCTCGAACTCCACGGAAAAGGCAAAGTCACCACGCCTCCATCTTACTGGCTCTTCATGCGGGAATGAGGGAAGTGTCTACAATCCCCCTACGTGTCTACCCTTGAAGGGATTGTGTAGGACACCTATAATTCCTCAACCCTGAACCCTAAACCCTAAGGGCCTAGAAGGTCATGCTCGCTATCGGCTCACAGGTTAGAAACTTAGAGTCTCGCGGTTTAGGGTTTAAAAGGGCCCAGGGTCTGCAAGCACAAACCCTAAACTCCCCAAGGTGAGTGGTTATAGGGTTTAGGGTTTAGGGTTAAGGTTGAGGTTTTAGGTTTTGGGAGGTTTTAAGAGGTTATAGCTTGTAAAGAGCCTGTACTGCACATTCTGTTGGATTGACAGAAGTTTGAGTTCTGGCAGCTCCGCCATTGGCCTGCCGTGGTCGTTGCAAACTGAGTCTCGCCAGTAGAAGTACAATCTTGCAAACGCAAGAAGATGTTTAGGGTTTAGGGCTTAGGGACCTCTAAAACACGCACACTGAGGCAAAGCTTAAACAAACTGAAACTTAACTAGCTTCTCAGCCGACACTCTTGCAAGACACCATGCAAGTAGTCATCCCAAGCCTCAAGCCCTAAATCCTACACCCCGATACTCAGCACCCCACAACCTCCGACGACTTCCTAACTTCTTAACGCTATCTTCGTTTGGGGTTTAGAGCTTAGGATCCAGAGCACACATACCCAATGAATACCCTGTAGAGGGGCTCCTTGCAAACTACACATAGATTTTGAAACCAAACATAGATACTACATGCACACATACAGACATTAAATCTATATATATATATATACATATTCATATACACACATCCAAAACTGTAAGCTCGGAAGTCCAGGTCTTACATACATACGTACATACCACGCATACACACATACCTGCCATCCTTAGACTGCGGGTTTAGGGTTTAGGGTTTAGGGTTTAGGGTTTAGGGTTTAGGGTTCAGGGCTTAAACCCTATAAACCCTAAACCATATAAACCCTAAATCGTATGAGCCCTACACTTCTGAAGAGGAGAAGCCTTGGGCGAAATACCGCCCTCTGAATCCCAGCCAAGGCGCGGGAGCCGGAAATTCCAGGGGCCTTGCGGAAAAATCAGGGTTGGGGGGGGGGGGGGGGTAGGGTTTAGGGTTTGGGGGTTCGGGTTTTGGGTGTAGGGATGTTCCCGCTTGTACTAACAACCCTTCATAGGGATTATAGTACCCCCTAGTATAATCCCTATTAAGGACTGCTAGTATAAGGTCGAACATCCCAATCTTAGGGGTTGACACATTCCGGAGGGTCGTCAGATGCAAAAGAGCTTTGGCAGCAAGCATTTCAGGCTTAGTATTTGGGGATTAGGGTTTAGGGTTTATAAAATTTAGGGTTTAGGGTTTAGGGCTTTTTATGCCTCTATCCCCAGACTCCCGAGGCCCCTGTGCTTTCAAAAGGACCCCATGCTCCTCCCCACCCCCCCTCCCCCCGCAGGGTTCACTCCGGGCTTCAGCTAATCAAAGGAAACTCGTCACGAATAATGACCCTGCATCACGTAGAGGGTTTAGGGGTTTTAGCAAGGGTTCAGGGCTTGGGGGTTAGGGTGCAGGGTTGGGACTGTCCCTAACTTGCCTGCACTTAAATGTTATCCTTGACTGAAGTAAAACTTTCAATTATTTCAAAAGAAGTCGACCACGATAAACCAAACAGAACAGCGCCAAGCACCAGTATAAAACTTTACAGTGCCATTGGAAGCGATATTGTTTCAAGCAAGAACATTGCTTGAGCTATTCAAACACCCACCCTCGAAAACAAACCACAAAAGCAGCTCAACCCTGCAAGCCCCTTAATGATAACAAAAGGCCATGACCCTAAACAGGCTCTAAAGAGCACGGGGCGGCGTGAGACGCTCAAACCCCAAGCCCTGAACCCTCAACCCGAATCCCTAGACCCCGAACTCCTAAACCCTGACCACCCTAAAGCCTAAACTCTGAACCCTGAACCCCCAAACCCTAAATTAAAAAAAAAAAACTAAACCCTAAACACCAAACCCTAAACCCCAAGCCCCTAAACCCTAAACCCCTACACCCTAAACCCTAACCCTAAACCCTAAACCCCGAACCGGGCGCCCGGGCTCCAAGTCCGAATCTTTTGGTAAAGCTGGCCGAAGAGCGACGACCTCCCCAGGGGGTCGCTGCTCCGACGCGCCTGGCGGGTTCTGGGCGACGTTAGGGTTTTATGGTTCAGGGTTTCAGGGTTCAGGGTTCAGGGTTTAGGGTTTAGGGTTGAGGGTTGAGGGTTTAGGGATTTAGGGTTTAGGGGTACAAGTAGGGTTCTAAGTAGGGTGACTCTGGTTAGAACCTTCTTGTTAGGGCACCTAGAACCCTACAGGGTGTAGGGTTATTGGGTTTAGGAAGGGCAAAGGGTCGGCACCAAGTACTATGCAAACTCCAGGCCGCGAACCCGATGTCCCTCCCACGCCAGGTTTTTTTCAAAATGGCCCCGCAACGCGTATTAAGAGAGCCGTGCATCTTCAGGGGGGCGGGAAAGATCAGGAGGAAGGGAGTTTAGGGTTCAGGGTTCAGGGTTTCGGATTTAGGGTTCAGGGTTTAGGTTTCACGGGACTGCACAGGGACCCTTTTCTCAGGGAGGCTCGGAGCGGCTTAGGGCCTTCTTGGCAGTCCTGCACAGGCCGGTCAGAACCCCGAGGGCATCAAACTCCCGCAGCGCGCTGCGCAGTTCGTCCTGCCGGGCGTCGTCCATGTCCAAGAGCAAGGTGCGGAAGCCGTCCAGGGTCGTCTGCTGCCGGATCTTGCCAAAGAAGAGGGCCGCGACATATGCCTCGGCCAAGACCTTGTCGGGCTGTAGCTTGGAAAGCGCCAGGTCGCTGCGTATTTGTTGAATTCTGGGCAGTGGGGCTGCTCTGCAAGCACGCACTAGGTTTGTAAATGTTACCACGGTGGGCTTCATACCTCGGTCTCGAAGTGCGTTAAAGAGATAGACAGCAGCATTGGAGCTCGGAGGCTCAGCATTCTTACAAGCATTCAAAGCAGAATTGAAATGGTTGATGTTGGTGGTAATGCGCCTCTGCATCATGTCGTCGAGCAGACGCGCGGCTCCCTCAACATCACCCATCTCAGCCGCGGCGTCTAGCCGGGCCCCGGCAGTAAGCATGCTGTACCAGCCCTTCTCTTGAACCTCCTTGTATATCGCATCGACGCGTGACTCATTGCGGAGCTTGCCAAAAACCTTCATCCCTATCTGTAAGCTGATGGAGTCTATGTCAACCTGCTCTGGTGGTAACTCACGCAGCTGGTCATATATCTCTGCTCCCTGCAGGTACTGGCCACAGCGGTAGGCGGCCTGCATTGCCGCAGTAAATACCGTGACCGAGCTTCCCATGTATGATCTCCACACTTGAGAGGCCCTTTTCCAGCGGCCCTGCTTGCCAGCTTGTGCAAGCAATGCAACGGCACGAGCATCTTCCTGAGTGATCTGATGTGTCTGCTTCGTCTGCTCCTCCTCGGGCACGCGCAGCCCGCGACCCTGCTGCTCGCGTAGCAAGGCGACCGTCTTTTGCCTTGGACGGGAAAAGCAAAGTCTTGACAACCAGGCTGCAGACAGGGCACAGCCGAACATAACAATACCAGCATGGCGCATCTTCACTTGAGCAGACAGCGGGGAATTAAGCCTCGAGCATTGTGAGATGCGAAGTGCGTGGCAGCGCCCGTCAACAATTAAACCGACCTCTGCCTAATTACTTGCCCCCTGCAGGTGTGATTGTAAACAACTTTGGTGTTGGCTTAGATTCAACTAGACCCAAGAGAAACCCAGGAACAAAAGGCTGCTATTCTTGGTTTCAAGGGCCTTATAAGGAGAACCTAAACCCTAAAAACAAGGGACTATAAGGGACCACACCCTAAACCCTAAACCTTCAAACAAGGGAATAAGCGCCCACACCGGGTGCGGATCAAGGGGCCCTGCGCACGGAACCCGAAACCCTCTCTTTCCACCAGCCCGGATACCCCTTCATTCAGCTGCAGTTTTGGGTTTAGGGTTTAGGGTTAGGGTTTAGGGTTTAGGGTTTAGGGTTTAGGGTTTAGGGTTTAGGGTTTAGGGTTTAGGGTTTAGGGTTTAGGGTTTAGGGTTTAGGGTTTAGGGTTTAGGGTTTAGGGTTTAGGGTTTAGGGTTTAGGGTTTAGGGGGCCTAAGGAGGACAACTCCGCAGCTAAGGGGCAACTTGAGCCTCTCTCCGGGATCCTTTCGAAAGCTGCAGCACGGGGTCTCGGCCCAGAACCCTAGCGACTCTCAACCGAACCCTCACAGGGGATTTAGGGTTTAGGGTTTAGGGTTTAGGGTTTAGGGTTTAGGGCGTAGGGTTTAGGGTTTAGGGTTTAGGGTTTAGGGTTTAGGGTTTAGGGTTTAGGGTTTAGAAGGGTTTGGGGTTTCAACGCTTAGGGTCCCCTGCACAGTGTGCACATGGGGCTGAGGGTCTCAAGCTTGAGGATTCTCAGGGTTTTTAGGGTTTGGTGCTCAAGACTGCATAGGGCATATTATATATATAGGGCCCAAGCAACGCCTACACCCTATACCCTAGACGCCAAACACCAAACCCTAAACCCTAAACCCAAAACTCAAAACCCAAAACCTAAAACCCAAAAACCCTAAACCCCAGCATGCTTGAGGCTTTTCAAACGCTCAATCTTAAAAGAGCGGCGCAGGCCTTGGAACGCTGGGCCCCAATGGAGTTCAAGCTGACCTGCGGAGTCGAAAAGGGTTTAGAGGGTTGGGGATTGGCGTTAGTTTACGGTTTAGGGTTTGGGGTTTAGGGCTTGGCGTTTGGGGTTTAGGGGTTTGGGGTTCAGGGTTTGGGGTTTAGGGTTTGGGGTTAACGGCTTAGGTTTTGGGGTTGAGGGTTTAGGGTTTGGGGTTGAGGGTGTAGGGTTTGGGGTTTACGGTTTGGGTTTTGGGGCGGAGGGTTTAGGGTTTAGGGATTGGGGCTTGGGTTTTTAGGGTTTGGGATTTAGGGCGTAGGGTTTTGGTTTTGGGTTTAGGTTTTAGGGGTTTGGGGTTTGGGTTTAGGGTTTGGGGTTTAGGGCTTGGGGTTTGGGGTTGAGGATTTGGGGTTTAGGGTCCCTAAGACTGCTTCTAACTGAGACCCGGATGCTTCGGGCTCTCTGGATGGCGGAGTAATTTTCTGGAGGGGGCAAGGTTATGCCTGGGTGTTGAGACGGTCCACAAACCCTAGCCCCAAACCCTACAAACCTGTAAACCCGAAACACAAAACCCTATACACCCCAAAACCTGAAAAACCCTCTCTGAAGGTCCAGGGTCTGGGGCTTGGGCTTCAGTCTAATCAGGCATCTGGTAAGCCTAAAAAGTTTAGGGTTTAGGGTAACTTCGGGTTTTCGGCTCCTGAACATTGTAGTGTATTGGAACCCTCAACTCCAAACCAAGCCCTCAACCCTCAATCCCAAACCCCTATTGGTTCGGCCCCTAAAGTCTACACTGCAAAGCCACAGGCCTTGAACCCAGACCCGGCTCCTCCCTGCTGACCCCCCCCCACCTCCGCCCCCCCCCAAAAAGGGAAAACACACACACAGCAAAAAATCACAGTCACAATCGCAATCACGAACCCTAATTGCACCCACGAGTACAATCACAATCGCAGACGTGAACAAGGAGACACTGAGACACAGGCAAACCTCCCAACCCCAAAACCCCAAAACGCCCCTAAACCCTAAACTCCAAACTCCCTAACCCTATACTTGTTTAACCTTTCCTAAGCCCTAAACCCTAAAACTGCCTAAACCCTAAACTCCCTAAACCCTAAACACAAAACCCCAAACCCTAAACCCCCAAACCTCAAAACCTAAACCCTAAACCCCATACCCAACCCCCCCCCCTGGACCTTAAACTTCCTAAACCCTAAACTTCCCAAACCCTAAACCCTAAACCCTAAACCCTAAACCCTAAACCCTAAACCCCAGCACCCCAAAAAGACCGGGCGCCCGGGCCCGGGAGGCCGCCGGCCGCGCCTCTGAGGCTGAGAGCTGCTCGAAGAAGCGCTTCCTCGGAACGTTTAGGGTTTAGGGTTTAGGGTTTAGGGCTTAGGGTTTAGGGTTTAGGGTTTAAAGGTTTAGGGCTCAGGGCTTAGGGCTTAGGGCTTAGGGCTTAGGGTTTAGGGTTTAGGGTTTAGGGTTTAGGGTTTAGGGGTTAGGGCTTAGGGTTTGGGGTTTAGGGTTTGCGGTTTGGGGTTTGCGTGTTTGGGGATTGGGGTTTGGGGTTTGGGGTGTAGGCCTTTTGGGAGCTTAGGGATTGGGAGTCTGGGGAGTCGGGGAGTTTGGGGTGCTTTGAGGACTTTAGGGGTTTTGGCTTTGAAGAGTCTTGGGGGTTTAGGGCTAAGAGGTCTAGAGTCTAGGGCTTACAGGGGCTTAGGGTTTAGGGTTTGGGGTTTAGGGGCCTCCAGGCTTCGGGCATTTTAAAGGCCTATTGCACAATAACGGCGGGGGGGGGGGGGGGGGGGGGTGAAGGTAGGTGTGTGGTGCTCAATGGGTTTAGGTGCTTGGGGTTCTTAGGGTTCACCCTAAACCTCAACCCTAAATCCTCCAAAGGGCTTATTGGGACATCTAGCCTTTGGCTCTTGACTTGAGAGGCTTCCTGGTTAAGTGCTTTGAGCTTTACTCGGAGGTTCAGGCTACTTATAACCCCAAATATAACTTTACTTGTAAGCCCCCCGAAGTCCCCTAAGCCTTCTAAGTAGGTTATAAGTAGACGTACAATTGGGGTTTTAAGTACCCATGAAGTAGGCTTTTGGGCCTGTACCGGTTGATAAGTCTTAAGGCGTCTGTGGTTTTGGGGCAACTGGGGCCCGACGCTTGATGTAGGTGACCACAATTCCAAATTCTGAGGCCTGCACCCTCAATCTTATTCCTATGCATATATAAATATATGTGGCACATGTGCCTCACATTGTAGACAGTTTATACCTAAGCAGCCCCCCAACTTAGATACTACACACCCTAAACCCTAAACCCTAACAGTAAACAAACACCCTAGGCCCTAGAGCAGATAAACCCTGAGCAAGACAGCGCCAGGTGGCTTCATCACAGCAGGCAGCAGAAAGCGCTTCAGCGGGAGCAGCGCCTTTTGTTTCGCACAGCTTCGGAGGCTGCAAACTTTTCCCCACCAAGGGTGGTCCCTCAACCCTACACCTCTTAGGGTAGTTACATGGTCCCTTCATATGGACACTTCAAAGGGGACCACTTCTTACATACCATTTATATACCCTATACGACCCAAGGGTCCATACTTCAGAACCCTGAATGAGGTAAGGGACCGTATTGCGGGCCCATGAAACTGCGATTAGAACACCCTCAACCCCCCAACCCTGAGGGCTTACGGTTCAGGGTTCGGGACTTAGAGTAAGCTGACTTAGGCGTTCGTCTAAGTCTGAGGCATTCAGCTCTTCGAAACCACGCAAACGCTTCGGGTGCTTAATGGCGTCGAGAAGGGAAACCTAGCCCCCGAAAAACAAGGAGACAAGAGTGCTGCTGCAGACTACTGGGCATCCTCCCCCAAAATGCCCTGTGCAGCCAGCGCGCACCACCATGCTGTCATGAAATGTTGAGAGTATCTTGAAGGGCTCGATCTTTGGGTGGGTCTACGTAAACCCGAAACCCCAAACCCTAAACCCTAGAACCCTAGAACCCTAAAACCCTAAAACCCTAAAACCCTAAAACCCTAAAACCCTCAAACCCTAAACCCTAAACCCTAAACCCTACGCCCTCAACCCTAAAACCCTAAAACCCTAAAACCCTAAAACCCTAAAACCCTAAAACCCTAAAACCCTAAAACCCTAAAACCCTCAACCCTAAACCCTCCCCTAAACCCTAAACCGCGAAATCCGGAAAGTTGTTGCGCTGAAGGGCATCCGCCCAGGGCGCCGAAGGTGCGCCGAGCGCCGTCAACAGCGGGGCTGCTGTCAGACCTGAGGCGCAGAAGTTTACGGCTCAGAAATTCTAAACCCTAAGCCCTGAACCCTAAACCCTAAACCCCTAAACCCTAATTTCGGAAACCCCCCCCCATGTGTCGTCCTTCTTCCGTGGAAAGCTTGGCCCAGCGCTCAGCGCTGACAAGAGGGCACACTTCGCAGCCAAGCTCTCGTCGAAGAGGCGCCTATAGGCCTTCAGGGTTTAGGGTTTGGGGTTTAGGGTTCAGGGTTTAGGGTTTAGGGTTTGGAGTTTAGGGTTTAGGGTTTGGGGTTTGGGGTTTGGGGTTTAGGGCTTAGGGTTTAGGGTTTAGGGTTCGGGGTTTAGGGTTTAGGCCTTCAGGGTTTGGGGTTTAGGGTTTGGGGTTCAAGTTTAGGGTTTAGGGTTTGGGGTTTAGGATTTGGAGTTGTAAGAGCCTTTAAGGCTTTCTATTGCGGGCTGCGGGCTTAGGGTTTAGGGCTCTCACTCAAAAGGGGTGTAGGGCACGTAGTTTCAGGCTTCAGGGCGGAGTGTGCGTGGCTACCTGCTCACCTGGAAAATTGAAATCCTAAAAGACACCACACCCTAAACCCCTAAACCCTGAGCCCTAAACCCTAAACCCTACACCCTAAACCCCTAAACCCTGAACCCTAAACCCTAAACCCCCCCAGGGTCTGACTTTTTCCTCACA